TGCTCTTCCGATTGTGCATTATTTACTAAAACTCAATTTGGCGACACATCCAATTTAGACTCTATCTCCCTTGCAATCTGTCTGATATCTGCGAAACTCACAGAAATAGTGTATTTCGATGAGACGACGAGTAGAGATGCATCAGACATTGAATGTAAATGATATTTCGATGAGTCATATCAATAGGTATATGCCTGTAAATATGACTCGTCGAAATATCACTAACATTCAATGTATGATGCATCTCTACTCGTCGTCTCATCGAAATACACTATTTCTGTGAGTTTCGCAGATATCAGACAGATTACAAGGGAGATAGAGTCTAAATAGGATGTCTCGCCAAATTGAGTTTTTGTAAATAATGCACATAAAGGGGAAAATATTAATGAGAGCGACGCGTATCGTACTTGCAATACTTATCATTCAGCGCCTATTCTTCGCAAGAGATTTATTATTGATTATTATTACTAATTAAACGCAAGGATTTACAGAAACGCTGAGGTTTACGCAATGAAATGTTATCTTGTACAGTTATAAATTTTATTGCATTTAGGCACAACACAGAATAAGAGTAATATTACAATGACAACGAGAATGATACATTTTCTCTGTTTGTCTGTTAGGTAGATGACGCACTCTTTCCTTCTCCTCGTCCATAATGTCATTCCATTTCCCATTCCTCCAGCTCCTTGTCCCACACGAGATAATCCAACGAGGCGAAAAAAACCTCGATCTGCTCCTGAACGTGCTCTGCCAACGACTTGAGATACCTATCCAATTCCATCTCCTCCCGCTCCAAGCATGCCATCTCTCTCCGGCGTCTCTTCTTCATCAGCCTGAACTCGCGTTTCCTTTCCTTGGCAGACTTGCGCGGTCCTGTTTTCCCTTGCGCAGCACTCGGCTGAAAAACATTTAACCAGTTTACACGTCTATCGCTAACATGTATGTATTGATTTCAAAAGAAGGTAACGTGATTAGATATATAATTACATATTTTACACGAATAAAGTATACGGAGGAATGTTCTTATTATTTGTCGTGGGCGAGCTTTCACCTCTGGCAGCTGGCCTTCCTTCTCTACCACCAGTGTGACAGCCTCCTCCTGCTCCTCTTCCGCCTTCCTCTTCTCAGCCATATTCTTTACGAAATCTCTGAAAATAATTAAACAATTAGCGTCAATCGCTTGAAAGGCATTCAATTACATCTGGCTGTAGTGAAAACATAAACATGAATCAATCATTTCGATTCTCTCGTGCGTGTTTCTCGAGCGGGTACATGATATTCGCAATACAATCAATGCTGGGCATTGTAATATTGCGAATATTTAATGTACGCGCAAGAGAAACACGACAGAGATTCGATACGATTGATTCGTACAACTCTTTTGAGGTGCACGAAATGGGTTATGTTGATTCGCGGCAACGATTTGCACACAACTTTTGCATGCAGTTTGGCAACTTTCCGCATGCAATAACAAGTGATACACAAAATGAGACTGTAATAGAGATAATGAAAGATTGCACTTACCAAATCTCGCGCGGTCCAGGTTACACGATGAGCAGGCAGCTTCTTCTTTTTCTCAATAGGGGCTTCCGCTTCCACCAGAAGCGATACAGCCTGGATGTAAGCTGCCACACCAGAAGGTGGGAGCAGGTCAGTTGTGCCAACCGAGGCAAAGCGAGCGTAAAGAGAATGAATTATAGGGAGATTTCTAGTGATTTAAAATAGGCACAGAGAAGGTGACAGAGCTTGGGACAAAGGTCTTTAAGCATGGGGAATAGATCAATAGCGTATAATGGGAAATTCTTTTTAATAAAGGAGCGGAGCTTTCCTGATTTGTGGATGCAAAGCGGGCAGTAGAAGACGATATGATTTATGTCCTGCCGAGGATCGCCACAAGGGCAAGCAGGAGAGTCGACAATATTTTTTCGATGAAGACTGTAAAGCAGGTTATAATGGTTACTCCTAATCCTAGAGATGCAATTTTTTCCCTCTTCAGACCTTTATTGTAGAACCAGGGTTTTTCAGAATAATTTAAGTATAGATCAGTGTATTGAGCGCCCTTAACGAAAGCTGTAGTCTTTAGATAATTCTTAAAGAATGTTGAACGGTGTTCCCTGGCCTCGACCTGGAGGTCTGAGTAAGGGATTTCAAAGAGAGGCCTTCTACCATTTGACGCGGTGAGTTTAGCCAGTCTGTCAGCTTTTTCGTTTCCGCCGATGCCCTTGTGGGCGGGTAACGAGCAAAGAGTGATGTTGGCGTTTACGCGAGTCTGCAAGGCAAAGCTTGTTCTTGATTTAATGTATAATGTAGTTGCCACGCTTATCGTTCAAAGAAGCAAGTGACTCGAGAACACTTTTGGAATCTGAAAAGATTATAGCGTTGTCAAAGTCCAGGTCCAAAGATATATTGATGGCTTGCAGAATGGCCCACGCCTCTGCAGAGAAAATAGAGGAAGCAGAAGGAAGCTTATCACGAATAGTGAACCCTAGGCTAGGCGAAAATACCCTCGCTCCTACCATGGATGATTTATCAGATCTGGAGCCGTCCGTATAAAATGCCGTTGTTTCTAGAGGAATTTCCGCGTAGCACTCTGGAAACTTACCTATAACTTCCATTGATGATGAGTCCTTTTGACCAATTGGCACACTAAAATCAAAATCTTTCCGGTAAATGGATGTATGGTAGACGTAGTAGAAGGCAGGGAGAAATGATGATCGATGTATGGAATCTAAAGCATGTTTGGTGGCGATGAATCTTGAAAAGATGGGTATCGTTCTTTTTGCCTTTTCCAGAGTAGCCACCGAAGTGGTGAGAGACTCCAACTGGCGCGAGTTACGAGGTTAAACTTGAATGAGTATGCTTTGTAAAGGAATTTGTCAGAAAGATTGATAAATCTTGTTTCCAGAGGTACGTCTTTGGCCTCCGCGAGCATGACATTGATCGGGATTGACATCTTATATCCCAATGCAAGTCTGATGGCACGGTACTGTAATCTCTCCAGTTTGAGAAAAACTCTCATATTTCCAGTGATCCGGAATATGAGACTTCCATATTCGATGGCACCTCTAAAGATAGCTCTATACAGGCATAGCATGGATTCTGAGCACCCCATTTGGTACTGACCACTGCAGCCATGGCGTCAGTCACAGTTTTGCCCTTTTGGATAAGATATTTAAAGTGAGCCTCGTCTTTAAGAGAAGGGTCTAATAGTATGCCCAAAAAGCGGAAAGAAAAAACCCTAGGAATCGGTTGATTATTAATTGAGAGGTTTGTCGCGTCCTGCGGTGGGCGGGATTATTGGACAAAAGTGTCAGAACGCGGACAAATAGATTTAGGAATATTTGACTCTGAAAGTTGGGAGTTAGGGAATTATTCGCTAGGGGAAGTAACTTCTAGAGGTCGAAATAGTCCTGGGAAATGCAAACAATAGAGACTTCTTCGTCTAAGTGAGGGGTTGCCTCGGAATAGGTTAAGTATTTAACAAAGTTTTCGCGGAAAAGTTTACAAATTGAGCAGTGGCTCACCGTGCGCAGTTTCGTAATCCTTTGTCGGCAAGCGCAACAATA